ATATAAACTAATCTTATTAAATAAAATTTCTTCCGTCATTGTTTAATTCTACTGCCCGGAGAATTGGCGTATTCCATTTTCCGAACTGAAGAATACTTGGTACCTGCTGTATCAAAGACTTACTGTAAATATGCTTGATACAGTGTTATGCATAGAGTAGGAATGTATTTTTGATAGTGTTCACTAATGATTGGTCTTTTAAAAAAGTGCATTTTCATATGCCCTCAGTCAGTCAAATAATGAAATGGTCCAAACACTGCGCTGTGCAACGCAATTTGTTCATTTTGACTTTCTACACACGCGCAGTATTAAAAATGTTTTGTTAAGTGGTAAAAACTGGCCAAACAAATTGGTTAGCCGATCCCGAAAGAATAATAATGAATATGAATAATTGTTATAAATATGGTTATTTTCTACAAGGTGACTTTGAGTGACGGCATAACGCTGTTGTATGATGGCTATACCAGAATCGAAGTTCACGTTGAACCGGCTTTAAAGGGAAAAACCTGTGGATTATGCGGAACTTTTACAAATACGGTCCAAGACGATTTCTTAACGCCTTTAGGTAAGCCAAAAAAAAAATTAAAAAAATCATCAACGCATTCAACAAGTAATTTGTTAAATTGGACTGCCCTTGCTAGCAAAATTCCCCATTCCACCAAATCATTTAACGACTTTCTACCCAACCCAACTCTAAAATCATTAATTTTTGTCCCAGTTGATGTGGCTGAAGTTATCAAAATATTCTTCTGTTACCAACACATCTCCTGGTATTGATGATTTACATGCTAAACCCATTAAATGTAATGCCAATTCTATTTCTTTCCCATTATCCCATATTTTTAATCTCACACTATCTGCTGGTGTGTTTCCAGACAAGATGAAGCTAGCACGCGTTACCCCTATATAAGGCTGGTGATAAATCTGATATCTCCAACTATCGCCCTATATCAATTGTATCCATATTCTCGAAAGCTTAGGAAAGTAATTTACGATCGAACATGTTCATTTATCACCATATGACATTCTCTACAATATAGAATATGGTTTCAGAAAACGACACAGTGCATCCATATCTCTCATTGATCTAACAAACCAAAATAGTAATTGCGTTTGAAAATCGCCATCTTTCTATCGGAATTTGTAGGCCTATAGATCTTTCCAAGGCTTTCGACACTATAGATCACAATATTCTTTTATATAAATTATCTCACTACGGAATTCGCGGACGAGCATTTAAACTCTTACAAATTTATCTCTCTAATCGTGCTGAGTGTATCAAATATTGAAATTTAATTTCAAATTTCAGTTCAATTACTTGTGGTGTTCCTCAAGGTTCTTTACTTGGTCCCCTCTAATTTATTATATATATCAATGACAAATATATATTTATTTCCCTTTTTGTTTATTTGGCTCTTCAATTATTTTTTAATTTGTTTTGTCATTTTTTAAATTTCCTTTACGGCATGCCCATCACAAGGTCTTCTCGGGATCATGCCTTCTTCCATAGCTTGTCTACGTTTTTATCTTAAATCATATTGTATTCTATATTTTGGGTGTTTGTACTTTGAAAGTAAATAAATATCTTTTGAAATTGAAATTATACACAGGCCTATTACTATCAATGTCAATGTTCTATCATTATCATTGTTACACGATATTCATATAGTAGCAACAAAAACAACAACAATAGTAATAATTTTTAAATATTTTGGTATAAGGAAATGTGGAAAACGACGTATACAATTTTGTTGACAAGATTAAAGTTGTCGCTGGATGCTCCAATAATCATGATATACAACTGGACCCGTGTAATTATCAAGAGAGTTATAAACCAGCAGCAGAGACACAGTGTAGTGAATTACGGAACACCAATGGTGTCTTGAGCGGTGAGTATGATATGCGCGAGTGTGAACCTATGTCCATTTAGTCAAGATGAAAGATCTACTAAGTTTAACTAGATAAAAAGGTACGCCTATATTGTGGCATGGCTGAACTAAAGTTATCCATGGCTGAACCAAGTTATTATACGAATAATGAATGTTTATGAGTGCAATGGGAAAAATATTTTCATGAGTTGAAAGTTTGATTGGTAGAGCCAAGTTGATTGGAACATTCAATCTTTCAACTCATAAAATTATTATTTCCATTGCGCGAAGAAAAATATTTATTATTTTGTTTATGAAAAATCTACCTTTTTCTAAATGGAACAGTCTAGCGTCTTTTAATGAATCAAAAGAAGACAATGAGATGACGACGAATTGGTAGAATTCAAACAAAATTCAAAATTTATTCAAAACATATATATATATATATATATATCATTGTGTAATAGAGTGTATTTGGCGGTTATTTGAATCTGTTGAACCATAAAGCCTCTGAGGCTAATGGTTATGACGCTCGCCTTGACAGCAAGAGGTCGCAGGTTCCAATCCCATTAGGGGAATTTTTTTTACACAATTTATTTATAGGACAACATTGAGATGCTACACGATGTATGAGCGTATGCTACGTTCTCTAATTTTCCCCAGAATGTTTTGCATACCTGGACCAGGCGCCATACTACCACTCTTGCATGCAGGATATATGCACTGATCCCACTCAGTCAGAAGGGCATTGCAACATGATAACTCAGTATGTTTCTGATTGCGCCAAGAAAGGAATTTATCTTGACGACTGGCATGGTTCTGTGTCTGGTTGTAGTAAGTATGAATCTTCCATATGTAATTTATATTTAAACCATTTCACATTCTCATTGATTATATTGTTTAATAGTATAGGCCACATAATGGTATTAACCTTGACATCTTAACATCATGTTGTCACAACATCTGGATTTGTCGACTTAATCATTGCATCGTTATGGGGGAGTTAACTGTGCTCCATAACTCAAAAGAAAGTGTATTGTAAAATAAATTACAATTAATTCAGGAACTGAATGAAAGATTGTGTAGTGTTAAATTTGTTACAATTTAAATGGCTCTCTTGGCCGCTGTATAAAGAATGATTTTAAGTCGAGAATCTAGAGGGAGTCTGGTATATATTGGAGAGGGTGGACAGTTGTTCGTAAGCTATATAACTTCACTGCGCATTATAATTTGAACACTATATTATATTAGGGGGAACCTAATATATTTCAACTTGTGCTCTTTACAATATAGAGTACTGTACTAGTATTTTGCATTTTTCACTAATAAAATGATTCTCTTTTAAAAGACAACACATGTCCAGACGGTCTCGTTTACAAAGTTTGCGCCAATTCGTGTGAGATTTTCTGTTATCCACGACCCCAAGACAACAGTTGTAATGACATATGCACTGCCGGTTGTTTCTGCCCAAATGGCAAGGTGTTTGATCACAACGGTAACTGCGTGAATAAGCAGAATTGCCACTGTCTGGCAGACAGTCGGTACTACTCTGCCGGATATATGTTGGACACAGGATGTAGTGAATGGTAGGAGAATGCGTATAGAACTGTAGAGCTCCGACCCTCCTGGTTTAAACTAGAGGGCGTCATTCAATAGGCAATATTTGAACTCTAATTCGAATTGTAATAGGGCGCCCCTAGTGGTAGTACTTTTTAAATGTTTCAATGTCTCCATACAAAATCAGGGCAGACGGACCTCTTGCAATTCTATTGTCTTTGGTAAGACTGAGTTTACACTCCTGCATATATTTCCAGTTATTAATTTCATGTTATATTAGATAGTCACATTTGCAGGCACAAATGGGTATACTGTATGTGGGCGCAACCAACAGAAATAATACCCCTTTTACACTGCCAAGGGCAGAATATAACCAGTGTTAATTTTGGGGTTATCCCGGTGCATTTCCCATTTACATCGAATGAAAAAGTCTTGGTTCATCCACGGCAACGAACTCGTAAAGTAAAATTGAAATTTGGTTTCCTCGGATACACAAAAAACAGAAAAAGAAATCAACAGTTAGATTCTATTCTAAAAAAAAATAATTAAAAAAAAAAATTTCACAGAGTGATAGCTAATAAAAAAAAAAAAATTAAAAATTGCTGTTTAAATAATTATCATTATATCAATTTAAATACCGCCCTCAATTTTTGTTGTGATGGTGATCATCATTTCGCTCGAGTTCCTCGTCGTCATGAAGCCACAATTATTGTCAATATTGAAGCAATGTAACTCTGATTGCGCCAAGAAAGGAATTTATCTTGACGACTGGCATGGTTCTGTGTCTGGTTGTAGTAAGTATGAATCTTCCACATGTAATTTACATTTAAACCATTTCACATTATCATTGATTATATTGTTTAAAAGTATAGGCCACATAATGGTATTAACCTTTGACATCCTGACATCATGTTGTCACAACATCTGGCTTGTTTGAATTAATCATTACATCGTTATGGGGGAGTTAACTACTCCATAACTCAAAAGAAAATTTATTGTAAAATAAATTACAATTAATTCAGGAACTGAATGAAAGATTGTGTAGTGTTAAATTTGTTACAATTGAAATGGCTCTCTTGGCCGCTGTATTTAGAATGATTTTAAGTCGAGAATCTAGAGGGAGTCTGGTTGGAGAGGGTGGACAGTAACTCGTAATCGCTATATAACTTCACTGCGCATTATAATTCGAACACTATATTATATTAGGGGGAACCTAATATATTTCAACTTGTGCTCTTTACAATATACAGTAGTATTTTGCATTTTTCACTAATAAAATGATTCTCTTTTAAAAGACAACACATGTCCAGACGGTCTCGTTTACAAAGTTTGCGCCAATTCGTGTGAGATGTTCTGTTATCCACGACCCCAAGACAACAGTTGTAACGACATATGCACTGCCGGTTGTTTCTGCCCAAATGGCAAGGTGTTTGATCACAACGGTAACTGCGTGAATAAGCAGAATTGCCACTGTCTAGCAGACAGTCGGTACTACTCTGCCGGATATATGTTGGACACAGGATGTAGTGAATGGTAGGAGAATGCGTATAGAACTGTAGAGCTCCGACCCTCCTGGTTTAGACTAGAGGGCGTCATTCAATAGGCAATATTTGAACTCTAATTCGAATTGTAATAGGGCGCCTCTAGTGGTAGTACTTTTTAAATGTTTCAATGTCTCCATACAAAATCAGGGCAGACGGACCTCTTGCAATTCTATTGTCTTTGGTAAGACTGAGTTTACACTCCTGCATATATTTCCAGTTATTAATTTCATGTTATATTAGATAGTCACATTTGCAGGCACAAATGGGTATACTGTATGTGGGCGCAACCAACAGAAATAATACCCCTTTTACACTGCCAAGGGCAGAATATAACCAGTGTTAATTTTGGGGTTATCCCGGTGCATTTCCCATTTACATCGAATGAAAAAGTCTTGGTTCATCCACGGCAACGAACTCGTAAAGTAAAATTGAAATTTGGTTTCCTCGGATACACAAAAAACAGAAAAAGAAATCAACAGTTAGATTCTATTCTAAAAAAAAATAATTAAAAAAAAAAATTTCACAGAGTGATAGCTAATAAAAAAAAAAAAATTAAAAATTGCTGTTTAAATAATTATCATTATATCAATTTAAATACCGCCCTCAATTTTTGTTGTGATGGTGATCATCATTTCGCTCGAGTTCCTCGTCGTCATGAAGCCACAATTATTGTCAATATTGAAGCAATGTAACTGCAGATTGTTTTTTTGAATTATGCGAATTAAATTAGCAGTTTTTATATCAAGTCTGTACCGGAGCGTAGAGGGTTTAATTTTAAAAGTGTCTAGTCCTAGCGCCTCGCTAGCAAAATTTAGGCCTACCTGACCATAGCTGCGGTAGGCGCCAGGTAAGGCCTAGGCCTAATTCCGGAATCAAAATTGGGTGCTGTTTACACTGGCGACTCCGGAATGCACCCGAGTTGTCCTACGCTGAATGCGTCCCGCACGTCCATCCCGGAATGTTTGGCAACCCGAGGCGGACTTTTTGACGTTTACACTAACCATGGAGGTATAAAATATTTTTATACCTCTGTGCACTAACTACAGCTGGTGCTAATCCGGCCGTAAAATTAATTACTAATTATTTAACACTTACAATTATTCAATACTACTAATACTCCTTGATGATTTGACTTTCCAATAATCCACTTATACAATAATTATGGTTTCTAAAAGCTAATTAACCATTAATTAAGACGGTTAACATCTTAAATTTTATGACAATCCAGACGATATGAGGACCATCAAGAAAAACATCGTCATCGCCATCATCATTATTATTTATATTATTATTACGAATCAACAGACATTATACAGGGGCGTACAGCGAAAAATCTAAGGGGGGGGGGGTCGAAACGAAAGCGCAGGGGGCAAGCTGAACTCGGAGCAATTTAGCAAAGCTTTCAGAATTTGCGGGGTGCGTTATTTGTGAGTTAAGCAAGCATATTTAAAGGGCACTTTCTTTAAAAGTGGGAGGGGGGGTCGACCACACGCATTGACCCCCCCACAGTACGCCCCTGTTATATAACTTTAACACAAAATATTTATTGACATAAAGGATCGACGTTTTGTGTCCAGCATGGACGCATTTCAAGATCAAGTGAACAAAAATAAACAAATCATAGAAAACCAAATGTAGGTGACATGAGGTGGAATTAAATTAATGGTTTGGTTCCTTAAGGGATTAAGTTTTGTGTTAAAGTTATATTATTATATTATTATTATTATTATTATTATTATTCTTACAATCATCACCATTATTGTTATACACTTTTTTTTTTATAGGAACCAGTAAAATTTTGCCCAGGCTCAGTGTTCTTATTTTTTGGCCAATTTCAGGTTCAAAATGTTCTTATTTTTATCTTATTTTACACACATTTCAAACATGGAAAATTATTATTGTACAGCAGTATACACTGTACTGGGAGGTGAAAGCGGCCCTGCAAAAAATGGCCCCTGAAAGAAAGGCTCAGCAAAAAATGGCCCCACAAAAAAAAGCCCTGGTTGCTGAACTCAGCCTCAATTTGTTCTTATTTTGTTCTTAATTTTTAAGCAATTTCAGCCTCAGTGTTCTTATAAAATGTGGTCTTATAAAAAAAAAAGTGTATTCGTATTGTTTTTATTATGGGCATGGTGTATTACTTATCAATTCTACTGCTCTATAAATTTGTATAAATAATGACCTAAAACTTCATAGGCCTATTTTCATTTCTTTTTCCATTGTAACTTGTAACTTGTTTGTTTCTTTGGTAGGCATCTTTTACAGAGACTTTTGCTTACCAGACTCTTTACTTTTGAGAGAAATACAGTTAATTATAAATCATGGATTTGATTAAAATTTCTCAACAGTTTGTGCGTAAACGGTAGCTTTGTATGTGGAGAGCAGACCTGCTCATGTGGTGAAAATGCGGTTTACACCACCTGCTATGATGGAGACATCTGCCGGAAGACATGCTCAAACCAGTACTTTGAAAAAATTTGTTCAGAAAAGAACTGTCTTCCAGGGTGTGAATGCAAAGACGGATATGTTTTTGACGAGAATCATTCAAAGTGTGTGCTACCTACTAACTGCCCGTGCATGAATGCTGGAGTAGCATACGATAATGGTGAAACAAACCAAATTGGATGCAGATTATGGTAGGAACTACTGATCAATTCAGGTTTTTCTTAATTGTTTATGCTTAATATCATTAATTGATAGTCCCCATGAATCATTATTGGGTTACACAATGTTGCTTGCTTGTTATTATAAAGATCGTCATTGTTGGATCGCTTCGAAGTGATAAATACCAGGGATAGCCCACGAAATCTGGAGACTTATTTCCAGTTGGGTCTTTCTGGTGGGTGATGTTGGCAGTACACTGCAGGAAATTTTGTACACGTTTAAAATTAGAGGTGATTTCCACCAAACTTTCATTGCCATTTTTAAAAATTGGATCCCAGGGTTCCCCCTACACCTACAAAACAAAACAGGGTTCAGCAACGACTGTACATTACTGCCATTACCACTATCGCACGTCACATAGATGGCTCGGTCAGTTAAGGATGTGTTCTAAAGAAGGTCGTGAGTTTGAATTGCATATTCGTATTCATTTTTTTCCAATTTTAAGGGGTTTTTTTCAATTTTTATTCATTTTTTTCCAATTTTAAGGGTTTTTTTTTTTCAATTTTAAGTTATTTTAATTTTGTACAAAGAACATGCTAAATAATAATTTTTTTTTGTACAAATAAAACATTCTGATTATTTAAAAATTTTTATCTTATTAGCTCTTCCAAAAAACCCCAATATAATAACTGGCGCCTGTGAGCGGTCACTCTTGTTTATTTGAATGTTTGAAAACAGGGAAAAGCTTGCCTATTAAGAATATACTACAGTATTATTTAAGAAACGGATTCTTCAAATGAAACTGATATCATTAGTTTTCAAACCAAGGAATAATAGAAATAACTCATAAAAATTGACGCCGCTTAACGTCTAAGTAATTTATAGTTAAGTAGGATTTCTCATTGAAATACTATACAGCATTATTGGGTAGAGCATTGACAACCTATAAATACATATGATGATAATGTTAACAATAATTGATAAATTGATGAGGTTGTGATGTGACATGTGATTTTTGATTATTCATACATCAATAATATTATCCTCTTTTTTATTTTTAGCAATTGCAGCGAAGGATTTTGGGAATGTGAGGATGGAACATGTAAAGGTAAGCCTGTAACTTGTAACATTTGAAGGTAAGCCTGTAACTTGTAACATGTGAAGGTAAGCCTGTAACTTGTAACATTTGAAGGTAAGCCTGTAACTTGTAACATGTGAAGGTAAGCCTGTAACTTGTAACATTTGAAGGTAAGCCTGTAACTTGTAACATGTGAAGGTAAGCCGGTAACTTGTAACATTTGAAGGTAAGCCTGTAACTTGTAACATGTGAAGGTAAGCCCGTAACTTTTAAATAATTAACCTTTCTGTGAAGCCCCGCCCCTTAGATATTGTTGCTAAGATCCACAAATGGATAGTGTGCAAACATACAAAACCACAAGCCACGTGTGTTAGTGGGACAAAAAATGTGTTTGTAGGACACCTTGTATTCCTGGCTTTGTTCTAATTGGTGAGTTGTTATGTTTGACATTTCGCAAAAGTCTAATAGCGCTCTTTAGCATGAGAAATGTTGTGATACAATATATCAGGCACTTTACTCAACACAAAGGGGAAGACGGGTGGATGGTGGTTTTGTGCTCATCATAGTGTGATGACCACAGTAAACAATACGCTTAACCCGAATTGCCGTTGTCGACGGCTCCCCGTCCTCTTGCATAGAGTGCCTATTATTGAATAATATATCTCAACATCGTGGGTTTGAGTCCCACCCGAGAACAACTTTTTTCACAATTGTTTTCACACGTACTGAGTATTCAGTACATTTCCATGTCAGGTAGGGCAAAATTAAACCTATATTATTGAATATTTAAAAACTGGGAAAGGAGATGGAAAAGTGCTTGTTACTGTATGCCACATCAGTTTTGTACAACCCTTCGAGAGAGAGATTATTAGATCTTCGTAAGTTACACCTGTGAACAGGTGCATTGGGCAAGAGATAGTTTAGTCAATGATTAGAACATTTGGTTTTGTTAAAAAATTTTTTGCATAAATATACTCGACAAGTTTAGCTGAAGGGGTACAAGGGAAGCCTTATACAGTAATGATATAGCATAATTCATAATAATAGGAGGTTCAATAAAGATGAAGTTAAAATTATTTTCCACAGGTACATGTATCACTTGGGGAGATGGTCATTATGAAACGTTTGATGGAAAACAGTACAACTTTCCAGGAAATTGTAAATATGACCTAGTGAAATCTAAAGATCCAAGGTTCACCATCACTATCCAAAATGTAGAGTGTGGTTCAACGGGTGTAACGTGTGCAAAGGAGATTACTTTAACAGAAGGTAGGTAAAGTTGTGTTGTGTACTGTTTTTGTTATTTCTACCTGACAAATGCCCTGAAGAGGATTGTAAATAATAATAGACCAAAAGCAACATAAGATATCAATATACAAATAATGATGGATGTTTTTAAATGTAATGGATTTGTTTGTTTGTTTGTAGTATTTATTGTTATCCATATAAATGAAATGCAAGTGTACAGTGAAAACAAATTATATAAATAAAAAAAGCATTGACATTATACATATATGGCATAACAGAGGATAACCCTTTAAGCTGGGATGCTTGTTTCAGAAGGGGTCCTCGTCAAAGAAAAACATACAAAATGAAGTTAATTACATAAGCTATATTATATAGCTGTGGAATGCCAGAGAACACACCTGCACAAAGAGCTCTAGAATTTGCCGTATTTGGATCCAACAAGTACCAAGCTCGCAAAGGGCATCATTGTACAAACTTACTCAGTATGCTGCGAGCAGACCTCAAGGAGGCACAGATGGGAACTCTCAGAACGAGCAAGAAACTAGGGGAGCTGAAGATGCTCGCGAGTGACAAGAGAAAATGGCCTCAAATGAAGAAGGACTGATTGCAGCTGTAGGAAGTTTCTACTACTACAGAAGCAGTATCCAGTAAATAATAATAATAATAATATTATATAAAGGTTTAAATAAAAAATAATAATTTAAAAAAAACATTAAATAAAAAAAAATCATTTTTTAGCTTCGCATAAACTCCAATAGAAATGTAAATGTGCATGCCCACCCTGAGCCATCGTCTTCGATTCGCGCCTATAAATTTACCTAGTGGAAAAGAGACTTTAAACGTCTCGTTCGAAAGACCGTGCGCTACCGTAACTTGCATTTCTGGCAAAGGAAAGCAGCGGATGAAATTGAACCAGTAACAAATTATCTGAAAGGATCTCCATGGTTCAGCTCACACACAGTGGCTACCACCAGTTCAGCCGAAAGTGCTAAGCTTGTGAAAAAATAATGCGCATTGGCTAACCTTTGTACAGAAAAAGTAAGGCCACCGACATCATAGGCAAGAGCCCAATTAAGCCGTTATATAGAGATCAGTGTCCATGCTCAGTATATGTGAACAATGTCAAATTTCATTAAAAATCAAATTGACAGATACTGGAGATAAAAAAGCAAGTTACACACTAATCCGTGGCAATGAAGTGTTGCAACCGACTGGTATGTCCGGGGATTATTGGACAGTTATAGACTTAGAGTTCAACGTTTTAGTGTACTCAAACAGATTAAACTACACTTTGTTGTGGAATAAGGGGACGTGGATTGAAGTTACTGTTGAACCAGAAATGGTGAATAAGGTATGACAATCAGGCATTTTAATCTTGTGCAATTAATAAAATAATGAAAATCACGCCTAACTTTTCTTTAATTTATTTTTTTTTTTAAATTGGTAACTATTTTTCCTTTTGTAGCTTTGTAGTGGAATGTTTCTATAAATTCTATTAAAAAATTTATTATATTACATATTCAAATATTCTTATTCATTTTTTCTAGTTTTGGAATATTCCGATCATGTTAGCAAATGAACACTCTCCAAATGATCGATACCTTGAAAAATCTTAAAAGCTGGCAAGTTAACAGCCTTAAGTCTCTCCACATACTTCCTGCCTCAGATCCCTATTTAATCTTGTAGAGCATTGTTGGACCTTTTTCTAATAAGTCAGAATCTTCTTTATATTTGGAATTTCAAACAAAAATACCGTACTCCATCACAGGGAGAATCATTAACTAATAGAGATGCGCAAAAAAAACATTTACCATCATGAAGCTTAAAATTACTATTTGATCAGCCCTGACATTATATTTGCTGCTCTTGCAACCTCAACTATAGTGTGCTGAAAATCCAAATAGAATGCTAAGATCTGATTCTTCAATAACTTGTACAATTTCACATTTTGATTTACCAGTACTAATACAGTATAATATTTGGAATTACAATTATTAATCCAAAATGCATGATTTTACATTTAGATTAAATCAATGGATGCATGATTTATAATGCAACTAGATGATTTGTTGAATTAGGTTGAGAATGTGTTTAAATAATAATATGAAGGTGAATTGATTTTATGTATAGGTAATTTATTTAAATATATTATTATTTCCTGCTAAATTGAATATATATGTCTCCCAATTATGAGTACCGTTTGCAAATATTTGATACTACTTACCAATTTGTGTATAGTTAACTGGACTGTGTGGTTATTACGATGGCCTGGAGAGCAATGACTTTCAAATGCGCAGCGGAATGCAGGCGACGTCAACGTACGCATTTGGAAACAGTTGGAAAGTAGGTACCTTTCTATGTACGCATTAAAGATAAAATATTTAGATCCATAATTATCAGTGGCATAACGTTACCGGGTCCGGGGGAAAGAAAGCGTTTAGGGCCCCCAATGTGCATTTCTGCAATAGGTTTGAGTGTCATGAAAGTGGCTGAGGGGCCCCTTTATAGTAGAATTATTAATATCGTAGCCTATTATTACTATAATTTGATTAGTATTACATCTATATTAGCCGTTTCTTCATTATTTCGGACTATTAAATTTGTTGTAGTGAGGCCCGGCTGTCCAACACCTTTGCATCAAGAATTGATATTATATAAAAGAAGTACATAGAATTGAAAATTTGGGAGTTAAAAACTAGGAATTACATTGTTGCCATATGCTAGTTTTGCATGTCTTTTACCAGATCGTAATGTCAAAGGTCTGTTTAAAGAGTACGTGTATAATAGAAAGTGTTGCCCAGGGATCCTTGCGGTTACAAAGCGCTAACTACCATCCACTTTAAAAGTATTTCCATCGGGTACAACCGCAACCAACAGAGTATGCTTTCATGAATCAAGGACCAAAGTAAATCACTGGTAATAAAGGATAAAAAGAATAAAATAAAAGGAGGGCAAAAACGACCAAACCCAGGCCAACACACGCAATAAACTCTATATCTATTAACATTTCTACCGTGCTATTTCCAGGATATTCATAGCGTCGAGTGTCAAATTTATTGTAGAAAAACCATAAAAGTGTTGGATCCCACTTTTATTTATGCAATTAACAAAAAATAAATAAAAAAGGGAAAAAAAAATAGGTTGATGCAACAGATGCAACATATCAAAAAAAAAAAAAGAAGAAAGAAAGAAAAACAGAATGAAAAAGAAAAAGTTGAAAACAGTTTTTAAGCCTTTCTTTAATGTCAGGCTCCAGAGGAAAAAAAATATGTTGTACCATGGAGGATGGTTGTACTGATTTCCCTAAAATACAAAAAAGAATATTTTATAAAAAAAACTCGGGAACAGGTAATGATATACAGATTTTCCAATATTTAAAAACTGGGAGGGGGATGATGTGTAACAACCTCTTTTTTGCACCTTTTCATCAAACTGTTTGTGTCTTAGGAAAGTAAATCGTTACAACATATCTGACTTTAAACTCTGTGGCACTAAAGTGACAGAGCTGAAGTTAAAGACAAGTGTCTACTACAGTACTTGCTATTCAACTTGCTCATCTTACAGTAACATGGCTTGTGTGTGTGTGTGCTTATTAGGCTTTCCAGTATTGCCCCGATGCAGAGGAACCAGTGGATGCTTGTGCAGAATACCCAAAACGGAAATTCTGGGCAGAAAATAAGTGCCAAATACTACAAGGAGAAGTGTTCAAATCATGTCATAGTCGTGTGCCTGTCAAGCCTTATTATACATCATGTGTGGCTGACACCTGTGCATGCAGCTACGGTGGAGACTGTGAGTGCCTATGTACTGCCGTATCAGCATACGCCCAACAGTGCAGGGAATATGGTATAATTATTTCTTGGCGATCACCTCATTTTTGTCGTAAGTATTTAGTAATTAGATGATTTTTCTCAGCAAGATGCCATTTCCTCTGCCTCTACCGAATACACATTACTTTATCTTTATTCACATATTTAGTTATTTAATAAATTTATTTATTTATTCACATATTGTCCTATTTAATTATTTGTATTGTGTGTGTTTATTTACTTAATTTACTTCTTCAAAATATATCACTTATTGATTCATGATTAATTTTTTTCACTGTTTTTTTGCATTATAACCATTATATAATTGTTATTTTGTTGATTTACAAGTTCTTTAGAGTTACTTCTGCTTAATCACTTTTTATTATATTTGTATTATCTGTTTACTTGATTGGTTGATTGATGAATAAATAAGTTTGAAGTTCGAAGTTACTCCGAATTTTACTTGATGTGCGTTACCCTTGTCTGTGTGTGGGTGTGTCTGTGTGTCCTTCCGGGCGCATAACACAGAACTACTGGACAGATTAACCTCAAACTTTCACATAGCAATATTACATGTATCTCAGTCCTCCAAAGGAGAGACGAAGAGTATTCCAATAGCCCCTCATCTGTGTGTATGTCTGTGTGTCCTTCCAGGCGTATAATATATACTGTATAT